GTCGACAAAAACTCTGCCCAACTTTTTGTCCGATCTATATCTTGTTTCATGAGCGATTGCTTTCTTGAATGTCTTTGACATCGAACACCCCGTACAAGCATGCATTTTACCGGTCAACTCCATACCTAGTCATTTTGCTGTTGTACGAAGTAATCCCTCATGTGAGTGAGCATAAATGCTATGAAACTCGTTCACATCCATCTTAGATTCATGCTTGGGGTTTGAAGGAGTGAGGGCAGCTAACACCGAACCAACAGAGTTATTCTCTACCAGATGATACGCAGTCGAAATGAGCATGCCATCGAAAAATTACTGTTCTGTCGAAAGAAGCCATTATTCCATCAAGACCACCGAAGCTATTTCATTACTTGCCATCAAACACTGCGCTGGGAGAAAAAAGGTTGCACAAACCTTCAACCCTACGGAACCCTCGCTGTCAGCAATCACAAACACTTCCTCCAGGGTTTCAGACGGTCTACTTCACAAGTAACGTCATCAATCCCTCATGCGTTCTAATAGCATGTGGCTACTCAACGATCTTCAACGCAGACAGTCCCGCAATGCAAACTGTCCGATCAAGTTGTTCTATGTCACTCTGTCGACACACACAGCAGCAACTATGACGAACATTCGGCGTCCGTCTGCCCCTGGGTATGTCCGCACGTTCGCCCGTGTGCACGACAAGGGAGGGGTGTGTAGAGGTGTTTGTGTGTGTGTGTGGGAGGGGATTGGGGGGGGGTGTACACTTGGGAGTATTTACCACGTGGATTTACTTTCTACCATGCACCAAAACAGAGAAATAAAGCACGCCCGACATGCGTAGCCAAGGGTGTCCGACCGGAGAGCACTTAGGACGCGGTACTGGGGTAGGGGCTAGGCTCTACATCAAGTACTGAGTTTGGTTAGCTATCGAAACACGTTCGTTCTGCCAACTTAGATAGTACGCGGCGCAACCCCAAAGCATGAGCATCACAACATATACATCCGCAACGCACCTCCATGCTCGGGCCCATGCGCACCACTACCTCCCTCGTCTGTCCCTTGTTGTCCGTCAGGTTGAGAACGATGTGGTCGTCCCGCAGCCTCTTGTAGATCTCGCGCCACGCCTTAGCCCTGTCCTTGTTGCCCTCGTGCTGCATCGGGCACAATTCCTGAATGAGAAGGTGGAAAGCTGTCTTCTCGCCGTCGCCTTGCCACAGCCTACATGCTCCTGCGCGGAGGATGAGGTTTCAAACATGTACAGCAATACGAGGCCGACGCGGAGACATGACTGCCGGTTTTAATTGAGACTAAGCTACAGGCTTCTGCACACACACACCTGTTTTCCAGCAATGCAGGGGTGCGTAGGTACATGAAGATGCGACGATGGACACAGAAGGGAGCGCGTACAAATCAGGATGTCACCCTTCTATATACCCGAGTGGTATGATTTCCATACTGCGTCCCGATATGCACACAGCAGTTAAAAAGTTAAGATCATCGAACCACAGAGTTCAAAACTACAGTACGCAGCATTACTACTACGCAAGCCAGAGTACAAGTATCACCCCCGCGGTCGCACGCGCCTTCGTATGGCCATGGAGGGGCACGACGGTAGTAGTGTAGTGTTGAAAGGCCTGTTACGTATGGACCTTGTGCTGAACGCTTCCCCAAGGGAATAATCGAGTCTACGTTCGAGTTTGTCTTGACTGGGGTGACCAACGAGTTCCGTTGAACAATCCTGTAACATACACAGCGGTGCTTGCAAAATCAAACTCGGGAGACATCACTGGCACACAGCCACTTGCGAACAACTGCGGGGGTGAGCAACCTCCGCTGCGAAAACCGAATTGAACTGTACATGTCTACATTAGGTGTCCTGTCGGCGTTACTATGCAACACACACACCTTGGGTGGATGTGGGCTCAGATGTGGGCTCAGCTCCAGCCTCCCCCTTGCCCTCCTTGCTCTTGCTCTTCTGTCCTCGGGCCCCGCCACCCGAAGCAGACCCCGACTGCTCGACTCGTGCCCCGCTGCTGCTTCCTCCTTGACTGGGAGTGCTCTCCTGGCTCGACACAAGGTACCTCCTCCCTTCGCCCCACCTTCAATCCGTGCCGTTCGTCCTTGTACGATGCCCACGTAGCCATCGGCGTCGTCATGATGCTTTGGTGAGCACCGCGTAGTAGTCCTTCGGCTTGATGACGGAGTGGCAAGATTGCGCCCTCCTGCCTTTGAACTACTCGATGATGTTGACTCGTCTGCGCCACTCGATGGAGATGAAGGATCGTTCTCTGGCGCGTTTTCGCCTTGCCTACGCTGCAGACGCGGGGATGAACGAGTGGGAGGCGACATGCTCGAATCCCTCGACAAAGGTGACGAGGCTTCACTGCTGACTTCCTCCATACCTCCTCCCCGTGCACGCGAGGTAGGGACCACCTCTACGACCGAGCTGGAGCTGCTGCCGGAGTCGCTCTCCTTTCCGGTCGCACTGTTGTCCATGCGACCACTCAGGGACGCCCCCTCCTCCTTCTCCTCCTACCCACTCACAGACGGCCGGGCTCTTGCCGCCTGGGCTCCTGCCGCCTCCCGCTGAGTCGCGATCGTCTCTCCTCCTCCAGAGGCCCTCCTACCTCGATCAAAGATCCAGTTCAAAATAAAACGCGAGCTTCTCTTCCGCCGCACGCGGGCACCAAGACCTTCTCGCGCGCCCGAATACCAACCCAACAACTGCACACACGTTGCCGTGAAAGAAACCCCAGTCTCCGCTGCTCAGCCTTCTGCGCAGGGAGCGCTTGATTGCGTGTGCTCGTACGTGCCGCGTCATCCCGTGTACTCGACGGAAAAAGTTGCCGGCGTATTTCTTCCGGCCAAAAAAAAGTGAAATTTTCCACCCACAGCAGAAAAAAGAAATCCTCGCGGGCGCGCAGGCGCGGAGGAAGCCAGCAAATGTGCGCGCGGATAGGAAAAGCAACACGCGGAAAGTTGACGGGTCTTCCTGCTCCGCCTGGCCCAGTATTAAATTATCCTTTAATCCCTCTCTTTTGACATCCAGGAAAAGTATCTGTTGTTAATAGGAAAATACGGACGAGCACAGAAAGACTACCCAAATAACCACAGGAGGAGTTATTGTTCCTCGAATAAATTCTGGGAAAATGTCGCACCCCATCGAGGGCAGGTACTTGCGAATGTCGTTGATACTGGTGCCATAAAACAAGCCGTGGCTTGTGGGGTTGCGTCTAAAACCCATGGTGTGCCGTTTACATTCAGCCTTATATGCGTGTGGTCATATTTTCAGGGTAGTCCTCGGTACCAGTGTTTTTTTACGGACACAAAACGGTACGGTTTGCAAAATGACGGTAGTTTTTTGGCGGTTTGACGGTACTTGGTTTTTTGACGGTACCACTTTTGGCGGTTGACGGTACCGCCGAATTTGCCGGTACTTTTTCGGCGATTTTGCAAAATGACGGTAATTTTTTGACGGTTGGCGGCACTTCGTTTTTTTCACGGTACGTTTTTGACGGTGGTACCGCAATATGACGATACTTTTTCGGCGGTCTTGCAAAATGACGGTACTTTTTTAGCATTGACGGTACTCTGTTTTTCTGAAGGTACCTGTTCGGCGGTACTTCCAAATGGCGGTAATGACGGTGCTTTAAGCGGTTGACGGTATTTCCTTCAACGACCACGCCATCGAGATAAGATCAATCGTCAAATCGAGAAACTGACAAACTGAGCAGCCAGAAACATGCAACACGAAAAGAAAACAGACGGACAGATGGATGCGATCGAAAACCAGGAACATGCCAAGACGACAAGGCGTACTCGGGTACTCTCGAAGAAAAAAGAAAACAAGAAAACCAGAAAAGAAGAAAAGAAAAACGCACAAAAAGCAGAAAACTAGGTATAGCTGAGTCTTATAGCTCCCTCGGCCCCATGCAAGCCCAGACTTCTGCTGTTACCCGTAGCCGCTTTCGTCTACAGGCAAAGTTCAACCGTCTGGTTCTCCCTCTCCTCGTGAGCAGCCATTGAGGTCTGTGCGGTCTTGGTTGCCGTAGCTCTCGCCTGCGCGACTGCAGCGTCCAGCTCGCGGACCTCGGCGACCAAGTGCCTGTTCAGCCTGATGAACATCATGCGCTCAACCTTGCTTGGAAGCATGTTGCAGCGTAGTTGGCCAATCAGGTGGGCGAGCGCTGAGAAATTGCGTTCGGTCTGACAGCTGGTGGCCTCGATCCCGAGGTACAACCGAGCGATAAACGCTAGTAGGGCATTTCTGCCGGAGATGTGACCTTGCCAGTCGTCGGGGACACGCTGTCAGTGCCCCGCCTATTCCAATACCCCAGAACGTTGAAACCATCCACGTCGAGTTGTGGCTGCTCGGCCAGGTACAGCAAAACCTCTCGTTCGATCAGCACGCGCCGGCCCGTGGTGGGAGACGGAGTCTGGATAGAGACGCTCTCATCGCCGCCGCCGGTAGCTGCCGCCAGACGTGCCGCGCGCCGTTCCTCCAATCTCGAGACCTTCTTTTTCTTGGGTGCGGGTTCCGCCGGGTCCGTGTTCACCACCGAAGCTGGCGCTGGCGCCGCCGTAGACTCGGTGGACGGCCGGACGTCAAGGCTACGCACGATCCATCATTTTGAACTGGCTGGTCCACCTTATCATGGGGACAAGAATTTGCAAAAGGGAACATCGTCAGACCGCGGAGAGTGGGGGAGGGGCCGGTTGAACAGAGGGTGGACGTGCCCAGTTATTTGTTGTTCAATTTCGCCACAAACCGCAAATCACAAAATGACAAATCACATTTCATTATCACTAATCACCTTGTGTCGTTTCGTCTGAGGAGCTCGTAGATGCGCGAGAAGCCCTCTTCCAGCCTCTGGAATTGCTTCAGCTCGTCGTTGTTGACGGCGGAGTGGCTGAAAACACCAACCATCGCTGCCAGCTTCTTCATGAGCGTGCCCATCGTTGGGTTCTTTTCTCCCTTTCCCGGCTATGCCCAACGCCCACACGACTGCGGTGTTGACGCGGTGGCAGTTGCACTCGATGACAACAACACCCAACGCCGTGCACGCGTTGATGATGTTCTTCCCTTGATCCACCGTAAACGCGAGGAAGACGTCCGATGGCATCACAGGCTCGCCCATGAATGCCGAAAAGTACTCTAGCGTGAGCTGCGAATTGCGGGGCATGACAACGGATGGGACAAGATCAAGAAATATATAAAGTAAATCAATAAAACTTTAGACACAAAAATTAAAATACATGTTCTCCTAAGGTTGGTTCCATTTCAACAGAGTACCGTGGTTTTCAACACAACACAAAAACAAAAGCGCCTCACCTTCTCAATCCAGGGTTGGATGTCCTCGGCAGTGTCGCTGCCGGGAAGCGCTCGTGTCGCCAGCGCGATGCGGGTGATGTCCGTGATGTATTCCTCGTTGAACGTGTTTTTGGCCATTGTGGTTTTCACTTATTCGGGGGAAAGAGACCCTAAGAAGAGCTTGAAGCCTTGGTTCGAACCGCACTTGCTCCGGCCTCAGATCGATGCAGCACCAGAGGACGAAACGGCGGTCGGCCGCTTCCCCCCGTTGTTTGGTTATCGTCGGCACCATGTAACTTTTGAGCGACGATGAGCTCGGTGCGCCTGCTGATGGAGCTGCTGAGCTCGGCGCCTTTGCACCTGCTAGTGGTTTCCCCACTTTATCACAGAACACGCACCTGAGGACAAGACGAATCAGAAAGTTAGAAAGCAAGAAGGTCGAGCAGGGCCATCGTGACTGTATCATGTATAATGTATACTTGGCAATCTAGAATCATACATACATTAGAAGTTTGTTTGTAGGTTTCCATTTTTTATTTTACATTTTTAACATTTTTACACTTATATCTTCAATATTAAATGCTGATACTTAACTGAAAAGTAGTGAACAAGTCCTACATATTAGGAGTACTTGGTATATTACCTGGTGTATGTTTTATATATTATGTGCCCGGTACTTCGTATTACTCAGTATATTTTATATACTTATACTTCGTATTTGATATGAATAATATACATGTCCTTGTGGGTCTGTTGTACACACCAAGCTTCCATCACCCTTGCAGATATAATAGCGGCATACAATCCGCAAACCTCTACGTTTGTACCACATGTTCATGAGTTTTTCTAAGGGGGGTGTTGTTCCCCGTAGTCTTGGGCACAAAAACTCACCGGTTGCCGCTAGAATGGGGGCTTTCTTGTCCTCGTCTGCGCCGATTTCAGCCTTGTATTTGTCAACCTCGACCTTGTGAGCTGTTTCGAGGTGCTTGGAAATGCCAGAAGTTCCCGAGCCTTTCCCTCTCTTGCCGGTTGCTGCTGCGGTTGCTGATCCTTCCCACTTCATGAGGTGCTTGCAAGTTGTCCCATCAGCCTTCTTCGCCATACACACCACGTTCTTCCCGTTGATGAACGGGCTGAATCTACTCGCAAAGTGCCACGTCCAAGATGTCAACCTCCTTTTGCCCTCCATAGGCTCTTCAAGTGTGAACTTGCACAGTTTTGCCGTTGCCAGCGTCAACCGAGGCTTGAGTCTTCGGTGTGCTTTGCAACACTGGCACGCTCTCAGCCACCGGTTCACTTGCATTCCCACCCAACGAATCGCCAGCAGCACCAGCACCCTCGACACTACTGCTGTTAGAACTGCCGGCATTCCCCTGTACAGCTGCCATCTTCCTGGTTCTACTGGACCGCACGCACTCTGGGACCGCGTGTGCATTTATTATTAGCATCGACCGCGCTAACCGGCTGACCAATGAACAGACGTCAGTCTTAGTGCGGTTGAAAACACAAAACACTTCTATCTACCATGAACTGGGACCCCGTGAGGGGGCAGCATGGGGAAGGCTAAGCTATCCTTCGGATCAAAAACAGAAACAGCAGCAACAGAAGAAAACTGCACCCGTCTACTAAGGCTATTACCTAGTACTCGAGTTCGTTTAGGAGTACTTGCACCATTATCCTCCTTGTTTTCGCTACCATCATTCTGATCCTCATTTTGACAAGAA